AATGTGCATATCTTAGTTGACAAAATTTAAATTTTATTGCTAAAAAATGCTAACCATCATCTGAGCTTTAAGCCCATTGAAGCAGTCACATCAAAGATCACTGATCACAGAGGACCAGAACAAATTCAATAATAATGAAAAAGCTTGAAATATTGCCATAATTGCCAAGATGTAACAGGGACACAGGAAGTGAGCAAATGCTGCTGGAAAAACAGCACAGACTTGATTAACTGAGGGTTGCCACAAACTTTCAATCTGTTAAAAAAAAAAAGCAATATCTGGGAAGTGCAGTAAAACAAGGTATGCCTGTATTCTTTGCAATATTTCTGGGCCACAGATATTATTAACTTCAGTTCAAACCTTGGAAAACTCAATAAGCTTAAGGCATCGTCCCAAGGGAAAAGCTAGGATTCCACCAGGTCTGTGGACTTCAGACGCATTCACACTGCAGCCCTGGGATGCTCCCACATAATTTCCATGTGCCTATTTCACCTCTCTGGATCTCAAAGTGTTGGCATCATCTCATTTCCAGGGTGAGAGGTAGAGACAGGCCACACTTTGAAAGCACACAGACACGGTTTCAGCTACCAGCTATGCAATCTTCCTAATGAATGATGTGACATTATGCCAGTTTCCTAACACCCAGGGACCTCAGTTTTCCCATCTATAGAATGGGTATATCTGCTTCTAAAGCTCTTTGTGGAAGTGTGAAAGTGTCAGTCACTCAGTCGTGTGACCCCATGGACCGTCACTCTTTGTGATCCCATGGACCATAGCCCACCAGGATCCTCTGTCCATGGGCTTCTCCAGGCAAGAATACTGGAGTGGGTTGCCATTCCCTTCTCCAGGAGATCTTCCCGACTCAGGGATCGAACTCAGGTCTCCTGCATTGCAGGCAGATTCTTTACCATGTGAGTCACCAGGGAAGTCCTCTAAAGCTCTTTAGAGGACTACTAAAAATGGATATTAAATGCTCATTATTCAAAAGGTACTGCTGCTGCCTGTGTTTTACAGGGGGAAACATGAGACTCAAGAGAGATGGAATAACTTGCCGAAGCTCAGGCAGCCCTGAGTGGGTCTTCTCTGCTCCTTTACTCCAGGAGCAGGGGATCTGACCTCATCACTGCAACTGGAAGACCCTGAGTTTGGATGACACTGGGAATGAGAGAGTTTGACGGTGTGTTGAGGCGGTTGTGTGCTTTTCACTATTTCTGAGGTCCCACAGCAATTATGCATTTTAATGCATTCCAAAATCCAGAAACCATTAGACCAAATGGTTTTTAAATGGATATTAACTTAAAACAGAGAGCATTCTGCAGGAACCAAAGCATCCTCTACCAACTGGAATATGGAGGACAGACCACATTCAGTGTGGTCACAATGTGGAGGTCAACTGTTCCAGCTGGTGGACACTCTGGAACGTGGGAGTGAGCTGGTAAGGGTCCTTCCCATCTCTACTGAGCTCCTGGGACCCTTCTGTGTCTCCCTTTTGTCATCAGCCTTGACCTTCAACTATGTATCAGGATGTTCAATCAGACTTGGCCCCCTTTCTATGAGGGAGAGCAAGATTTCTGTGTTCTTTGAAACCTTTCCAACTAAGGCTGCCAGGCTTTGCTTCTTCACCTGACAATTTGGGACAGAAGCTCAAATCATTGGCTAGATGTGGAAGCTCCCTTCTAAGTCACCAAATCAGCCTTCCTGTTTTACCAACAGAAAGTACGGTGGTCTCCTTTATCCTCAGAGGACCCATCCGTTCCAAGCCTGCCAGTGGAAACCACAAATAGTACCAAATGCTATATATACCATGATTTTTCTGACACACATGTGCCAATGATAAAGTTTATAAATTAGTCACAGTCAGGGATGAACACCAATAACTAATAAAAAAGTAGATCCATTATAACAATCCAATGTAATAAAAGTTATGGAAACGTGGCCTCTCTCTGAAAGTACCTTATTGTACAAACTCAATGCCTTTTCCATCTTAACTAAACACTCTTCATGTAGCTGTGACTTTTGCAGTTTGAGGTGTGACAGCAAAACTAGCATGAATTTCTTACTCTAGATCTTACCAACCTCAGCAAAGATTTTTTTTTCTTTATTATGTTGAGAATTTTCACCTTTTCACTGAAAGGAAACACTTTACAGCTTCCTTTTTTGGCACATCCAAATTGCCAACATCGCTACTCTTGCATGTGCCATTATTAAGTAAAATAAGACTTTTTTGAACCACAGTAACGTGATACCACCAGAATCTATCCTGTAACTGAGATGGATACTAAGAGACTAATAGGAGGAATACGCTGGACAAAGGGATGATTCACATTGCAGGTAGGACTGAGAAGGAAGGGGCTAGATTTCATCACACTCCTCAGAATGGTGCACAACATAAAATTTATGAATTGCTTAGTTTTGGAATTTTCCGTTTAAATATTTTCAGACTGAGGTTGAGAATGGGTAACTGAAACTATGGCTGTATGCCTGCCAGCGCAGTCACTCTGTCGCGTCTGACTCTGAGACCCCAAGGACTGCAGCCTGAGTCTGCCAGGCTCCTCTGACCATGGGATTCTCCAGGCAAGAATACTGGAGTGGTTTGCTATTTCCTTCTCCAGGGGATCTTCCTGACCCAGGGATCAGACCCGCATCTCCTGCGGCTTCTACATTGGCAGGCGGGTTCTTTACCACTCAGCCACCTGGGAAGCTAGAAACTGTACCTATGGGGGTCTCCTACAGAGAACCGCTCCTCCTCCCCAATGCAAGAAGCTAGGAATAGAGCTGAGTCTTTCGCCATCCAGGCTTTAACTTTTCTCTTCCAGGCTTCTCCCTGCAGTGTGGCAGGTGTAATAGAGGTGTAACGCAGGCAACGCCCATGGGGAGCAAAATGGACTGTGTTGCAATAAGAGTTGAAACAATGACACTTTCCCACTCCCAACCCTGCTGCGCTGCTTTTCTTTACGACATTCTCCAAGCTCCATTTCAGATGTGCGTTTCCTCCCCTGCCTCTCCTGGAGGGAGCACTACCTGCGGGCAGGGACAAAACCATCCTGATCCTTATGTTCTGTCTAGCAGAGCGCTGGGCAAGAACCAGTCTCATACACATTTGCTAAGTGAATGAGTGAATGATCTCATTTTTTACGCTTGATCCATCATAAAACTGCAATTCAACTCTTTGGGGGCATCCCATTTCCCCAGTTTCATTTTAAAGATCTAATTATCCATGCCATATAGAATTTTTATTAGAAAGTGAAGTCATTAAACAAGCAGACACCAGACTCAGGCCTTGAGATAATTGCAAATAGAAACGGATCTGTCAGCAGAGCTAAGCTGGACCAGGAAGCATGTTGCCAGCAAACACGGCACCATTTTCAGAACAATGAGGTCCTCGGACCAGAGAAATTCGACTTCTAAATCTCCCAGGAAAGAAATGCTGGGAGGGGGCCATTCTGTAATCACTTTCCTACCTCCACCTCCCAGCCACGAGTTATACTGATAGACTGAATCCCAACCACCCTTGTATTTGTTGGGCCACTGACCCAGGTTTTCTGACCTTCTTGCTTCTGTCCCCTTAACCCTAGGATGCACCTGTCATGATTTCCATTCATACGTTCAGTCCAAAAATCAGTTCAATTTATGTCAATGACAAACCGGCAACCCATTCTCAGGCAAAGGAAGCTATTTCAAGCATCATCAAAATTTTCTCTGAACTTGTACATGCCAAACTCCTCTCCTCCTCACCACTTCTAGGAATGACACCTCAGTCAACTGCCAAAAACTTTGATAATGCTGTGATGAGAGCAAAACCCCAGTAAAGTCTCTAAATATTTACTATGAGTCTGAGTCTGAGTTACAGCCCTAACCGGTCCCACCCCTGTTAAAATCTGCTCCCATGCTCCAAACACAATTATTTTAGGTCACTGACACACCAGCCAAGGAGATGACAATGCTGTGTACCTTGGCATGAAGAGCAAGTAGGACCCAGTTTTAAATTCTGGCCTTGCCACTTACTAGTTGCTGGACTCTGTGCCAGAGACCTTTGCCAATTTCCTTCACTGTCCAAAGAGCATGATAAATACTAATATCACAGAGTTGCAGTGATGATTTGAGAAAATGTTTTTCCACAGGTATTATAACTTAAGAAAATAAAAGGAAACTAAACAGGCCCAGAATAAAAAACATGAAGCACTCATTTCGAAGTATTATCTGACAGAGGAGCCAGGGAAGGACAGTCTCTTCAATAAATCGTGTTGGGAAAACGACAGCCACGTGCAAAAGAGCCAAACTGGACCACTATCTGACACTGCACACAAAAAGTAACTCAAAAAATAGATTGAATGTAAGATCTAAAACCATAAAACTTCTAGAAAAAAACATATGCAGTAATCTTCTGGATGGCATTTTGACTACACCAAATGCAAAAGAAACAAGTGGAACTACATCAAATGATTCTTATAGTGACACATTTCTTAAACCCAGGAAGTTTGTTGCCGTTTCAAATTTGTTCCCTTTTGAGGACATCAAACACCACTGTTGCTCAGCATAGTGAGAGAGAACTCAAAAGATTAACCAGCAGTGCTTAGAACAGGAGTGTGGGCGATTTTTAACTTTCCCCAATAATGAATCTCTGAAGGCCAGAATTAGACCAAAAAGCTCCTCACCATGGTTTTCAGAGGACCCAGAGGGCCAGTAACTGAGAACTTCTTTCTAATCAATATAACTAAATAACAGCAAGTGTGAAGTGGGAACCAGGCCAGACCCTATAAATGCATAAGATCGTTCACTTCCTAGAAGGCAAGTCTCATTATTACTGTTTTACAGGTGCAAAAGCCAAGGCTCAGGGAGGTCAGATGTTCTTCAGGAGCCCACCCCTAGGACACAGCAGCAGTAAAGTTTGAATTCATGGCTGACTCCAAAAGTCCACTTTCTTTCCAGTCACCATCCTGCAGCCTTGGAGAAAGGATTTTGACGAAGATGAACTCAGAGCCAGAGGCTATGATGAATGGATGAGTCAAAAGTCAGCAAGGAAGGCAGGAGTGGCCCCTGCCACAAACCTGACACTGCTCACAGAGCTGAATGAGGGGCTCAGCAACCATCCCCTCTGGCTGAGAGGGCCGGACCGAGGGCTTGCCACGTGGGCAGGGGTAAGAGAATTGTGTTTCAGCCAAAAAGCACAGGATGAATGATTCAACCCTATCATGGGGGCCAAGGCAAGTCACCATCTCTGGGCCTCCATGACCCCGCCTTTTCCTTGATCACCCACCTCTCCGCGACATTGCAAGGCTCTCCTTTCACATCTGTCTTTACCCCCAGGCTACATTCTTTGAAAACAGAAATAGTGTTCACTTTTTAAAATCCCCAGTTCCCCAAACTATATTTGGTACAGAGTAGATGCTCAGTTAGCAGAAGGTGCATAACTAAAGAAACAGATTGATCCAGCATTGAGTCTGGACCTGCAGACTGGAGAATGCCTCTGCTCCTAAGATTTCACAGCTTAATTATTCTTAAATCAATTCTTCATCTTTGAGCAGTGGTTTTGGGGTCTCTTTAACCTGGAGATCTCCCAACAGGAAGAGGACATGATGGGCTCCTCAGGCTTTCAACTTTGCAAAATAAAAGCACTCCCTCTAAGCTACTGCATTCCACCCTACAAAAACAAGCCAACTGTGGCCAGGAGGAGAGATGCTATCAACCCCATTTTAAAGGTTAAAACTGAGGTCTGCAAGAGTGTCTGCCCCAGGGCTGGAATTTGACAATGGGCTGCTGACTCCCGGTTTTTTTCCTGCCACCAGGAAGCTTTTCCAGCTCATTACTAACAGGCCAAGAGCACCCACAAAGTAAAGGGAGGGGGGACAGGGTGGGGAAGAAGAGAGTGTGTCGTGAAGGGAAAAATAAAAGGGGGGACAGCTTCTCTGGAAGAGTGTCACTGACAGCTGACAGTCGGTGACCCATGGCCTGGACAGCTCTGAACTCCTCGCCCAGAGTTGGCTGGGGAAGATCTCCTGGGCTCTCCGTGTCCCCAACTCACCCGGCTCTGAGAGTAAAAGCAAACGGAACGCTTCTGGGTGCTGAGCAAAAACAGGAAGTCCCAAGTGGCTTGACTCTCCTCCCAACTTCAGCTCCCCCAACCTCAAGTGTCAAGGGTACACAAAGGACCTGACAGGTCGCTCTCTGGCAGGGGCCTCTGCAGGGGTCCACCAGAAAAACGGGAACACCCTTCCCACTTGAGTCTCCCAGCATAAGGGTTTAGGGAGTTCTGTTATCCCTCTCCTGGGACCAGTACCTGGAAGCCCACGGGGTGGCCAGGGAGCGAGCTGGGTGTTTGCCCACCAGCTCCATCACTTTTCCATCCATTCAACAAAAGCTCAGCACCTACTGTGTGCTGAAAGCAGAGTGACCCTAGGGAAATAGCTCACTCTGAGCTTAGTCTTGTCATCTGCAAGGTGGACACGGCCCCTACACCACAGAACTGCCTTGAAGATGAAAGGAAATAATATTCCCGGGCTTCTGCATCACACTTGGGTCTATTATTAGCACCACTGTGAGCCCCAGGCTATGATGCCGCGCCCCTGTCCCAGAGCTTGGGGCAGGAGATGGTGTGGCCAGGTCTGTCTCTACCTCTCTCCTCTTCCCTCCCCTCACTGGAGCCTGGGGGCCAGGAGGAGGTGAGATTCTACCAGTCTCCCGGCCTGGGGCCCAGGTTTATGATTGTTTATTTCAGAGCAAATAGAAAGGAGAAATTAGAGCCATAAAAGACAGGACAACAGACCAATAAAAACCAGCTCCCAGAAGAGTCAGAAGAAGGAAGACAGGCACAACTGTCACCATAGCAACACAAGACAGTCAGAGGCACGCAGGAAAAACAGCCCCTGCTCTGCCTTCTCTTTCCACAGCAAAGCAAGCTCTTGGACGTCCTTCAGTGCTCAGGGAAAGCCAATGGCCCACCCTAAACCTTGCCCGTTCCCTCCTGCCCACACACACCAAGCCCCGGGCCCAGATGCCCAGCCTGACCTGGCTGTCAGCCACCCTCCTCGCGCTAGCCCAGCACACGTCCCAGGCTCCGGGCCCAGCACAGCTTTCCGTGCCCTGGGGACACGGCACTGTGCAGATGGCCCGGGGCCCAACCAGAGTGATGGTGACTGGAGAGAGGGGGAAAGTTTCTAACAGGGAAGGGAAGAAGGTCCAAAGGGCTGGTGGGGACACCGAGGCCCTGAATACAGGCTCCAGGACTCTGCCCTAGGTTCCCCGGGGGGAGCGGAGGGGGAAACAGGGGTACAGGAGGGGAGGCCAGGGCCAGTAACTGTTGCCCATCAGTGCTGGACCCTACAGGGGAGGGGAATTCTGGAGAACCCGGGGTGGGGTCGGCAAATGACAAAAGCTCGTTGGCCCCAGTCTCTGGGAACGCTGGTCACAAAATCAGGGCAGCTTGGAGAAGGACCCGGGGACCCTCTGGCCCGGTATAACAGAGGCTCTTCGGCCCTTCGGCTGGCAGGCATGACAGGTGTTGCCACCAAATAGCCTGGCTGGCTTGGGACCAGTCTTTTGGGAAGTGGGTCAAATTGTTCCCAAAGCTAAGGATCCGGTGAAGTCCCTTTCTTCAGACTGGGATTCTAAGCGGGGGAGGGGGAGGGTGATGGCAAGGCGGTCTGGGTCCCCGCACAGCTGCGGGCTGTCTGGCTGGCAAAGAATCTCCCTGGCAGGTGGCAGCACAAACGTCCAGGTGGGCAGGCCCCAGGGAGCGGGGGATCGTCCCTGCCTCTGGGGGCGGTAGGGAGTGGTGGGGAGCCGAGTCTCTGGTGGTGGGAACGGGGAAGCAGAGTTGGGGGTCTTCTGGAAGAATTGGCTTTGGAGCCGAAGCTACCTGGAGCTGGGGTTGAAGGGGAAAGATGTTGAGCGGTTGAGAGAAGAGGGAGGTGATCTGGGGCACAGTCACGAGGCTGTGCTCCGCAAAAAGGGGCAAAGGGGCTCCAAGCCGGACATCTGGACGGCGATCGCCGGAGACGGGCTAAAAGGACTGGGTCCTCGGCTCGCCCTCCCGCCCGTCCTTCCCCGAAGGCTGCGTCGGGAGTTTGGGAAGGATGGCAGGGTTCTCCGGGCGCCTCCGGAGTCCGCGTCCCTGCAGGCCCCTCGCCGCGAACCCCGCCGCGCCCCCGCCACGCCCGCGCCGCGCTCACCCCAAGTCGCCGCCGCCCTGCTCTGCCGCCGGTCCGCCGCTGCCCCAGCCGCCGCCGCTGTGGACGCCTCTCCCGCGGCCGCCGCAGCCTGCGAGCCGGCCCCGAGCCCCGCCCCAGCCCCGCCCCGGCCCCGCCCCAGCCCCGCCCCGGCCCCGCCGCGGCCCCGCCCCCAGCCCCCGCCCGCTGCGGCCGCCCGGCCCAGGCCCCCGGGGAGCCCCACCCCCGCCGTCATCCGGCAGGGTCCCCTTCCCAGACCCATGGTACTGACCACCTCCGCACGCGGTCACTCCTGCTCTTTTTTTCGGCCTGGGCCTCTGGCTTTGCCCTCCAAGAGGAAGCCCGCATCTGCCCCTGCTGCTTCTACACACGGAATCCCTCCATACCCACTATTTCTCTTAAAAAAATAAAAGGACGGGGGACAGGCCTTTTGATTAATCCCTAGCCGCACTTCCAAATAAATGTGTGCCCATGCACCCAGCCAGACCATCCCAGACTCAACCACCCCATTCCAAATTACCCTCTTTGAATCCAGTTCTCCTCCCTGCCCCTCCTGGCACAGACTGTTAACAGATTCCCAGCCCTGGGGGCTGCCCTTATCTGAAGGGACCCCCAAAAGTCCTTGCAAATGCTTAGTGCAAAAAATGTTATTAGCCCTCAGAGCAAGTCTGTAAAAACACTTGAAAAAACCCTATGATGCAAGGGAAAGTAGGGGATTACAGTGTCATTGTCACAATCATTGTTTTAAAACATCTGCCATTAAGAGAGAGAGATTCAGGAAACCAAAGAGGGCTGCTCAGTGCCAAACAGGTTGTGAGTCAGAGCTCCTGTTGGGGGGGCCCTCCTGCAGGCACAGGCCTCTCCGGCTTCCTTTCCCAGTCAATCAGCCAGAGCATGGGTGAAACTTTATTAAACCCCTACAAGGGGTCAGGCCATGTGCTGGGGGCTGCAGCAGTTGCTCCAGGAATGTGTGGTTTGGGCGCATCAGGCAGTCCTGGTTCTGGAGTGCAGAAAGCTTCAGGAGACCTCGGTCAAGTTCTTCTTGACGGAGCTCCTGCTCTGAGCTTTGGCAAGAATTCAGACAGGGGCCAGGAAGGCACAGTCTAGTTAGAATGAAATAGTCTTCCCATTGGGAGGGGGCCTTCAGATCAGAATGCACAGGTCCCCATTTTTTATTTTTGCCAGTCAAGTTACCTGTACTTGAATCAGATCATGTTGTCAATCCCTGCAAAGACCTGTTTTATCTTTGGATGGCTCTCCTGGAAAATCCTTCTTGCTCCACCCCTGTACGTATACACAGCAAAGCTTCTGACTTATTCTATTCACCGTGAACCTGGTCAGGGTCTGAGGAGGACAAGGACAAGCCAGCCACAGACACCATTCACCCCACGTGACACCGTCATTTCAGACCACGGGAGGACTCCTTACTTGACATTCGTCTGTCTCTAATAACACAGCTGAAGTTGGTGAGAAGAGACTATTTGATGTATGAAATTTCACTTCCACACACTTAAAGAGGGCTTCTCTTTCAGTAATTGAGGGCTACCTGCGTAGTGTTGCCTAGCCCATTGTGAAATAATAGGGTTTCTAATTATTAGTGTGGAATTTAATAATTACGTGTTTCCTAAGACACAATAATCAGATGAAATGGTCTTTCAACTTTGTCAGTAATACTAATAACAAGTTTAGAGGTTACTATAATAAAGATTACAGTGAAATTAAGCTGTCAGTGAGGTGGCAGGTAGGTTGAGATGAAATTTCAGTGGTCTTTCTTCAAAATATACATTTTCTAAAATGAACCTTAATTAAATTAAATTTAAACCAGACTGTTCTAATTTCAAGGACATCCTTGTCATGTATGTATTTTTTTAAACAGATACCTTGAGCTTTGACAAAGGGCCAGGCACTGTCCTAAAACAAATGAAGGTATCATGACACTTGCCCCCAGCCTGAGGAGTAGACAGACTGATTGCCAGCCCAGTTTATGACAAGGCAGGAGAGAAAATAGGCTAAAACAGAGGTATTTTCCTGTGGGCTGAGGACAAGGAGTTCATTGTGATTGGGGAAAATTGTGTTCAGATTCTTTTAATCTGAACCTTGAAGGATGACTGGGCTTCAGGAAGCAGGAAATGAGGTCAAGGACCCTCCAGGTAGAGAAACAAAGAGGTCTGGTGTGGTTGCAATATCAGGGGCTGGACAAAGCGCAGCAGAGAATGAAGACCCTGAACATCAACCTGAGAAGGCTCCTCCTGATCCTGGGAACTCCCATGGGTTTAGCAGCCTTGGCTGGAAGCTCAAATAAGGAGGCTGATCGCAGTTTGGAGGAAGAAAAGGAGACAGTGATGAGAAAGACCAGGAGAAAAGCACCGTCATCACCCAGGAGCTCTGCATTGCCCTCCATGGACCTGTTCTACTCTCTGACATTTGGAAACACATTCTCTGAAGTATCCCCAGTTCTGAGAGCAATACTTGGCACAAACTGGTCTCCAATAATATTTGTTGAGTGAGCAATAAGGTCGCAAGTGATGGGTGCAAGTGATCCCCTATGGAGACCAAGTAACAAGAGCTGATCCCACCCAGGGCTCCTCTCCATCCACTGAGATTCATCATAGGGCAAGTGGAACATTCCTTCTAAATCCCTGGACACATAAGATTTCCCCTTCTCAGCATGGGCTTCCCTCATAAGTCAATTGGTAAAGAATCCTGCCTGCAACACAGGAGACCCTGGTTTGATTCCTGGGTCGGGAAGATTCCCTGGAGAAGGGATAGGCTACCCACTCCAGTATTCCTGGGCTTCCCTGGTGGATCAGCTGGTAAAGAATCCACCTGCAATGTGGGAGACCTGGGTTCAATCCCTGAGTTGGGAAGATCCCCTGGAGAAGGGAAAAGCTACCCACTCTGGTATTCTGGCCTGGAAAATTCCATGGACTAAGTCCATGGGGTCATAAAGAGTCAGACACGACTGAGCAACTTTCACTTCACTTTACTTCTCAGCATAGCTCCCCTTGTTGCTTCCAAAGACATTTCTGCTCTGAACCTTTGCTTGTGTGTATAAATATATACACACCTCCAATGACTTACTCCCCCATCTCCAGCTGTCAAAGACCACTGGTTCCAAGGCTAATGATGCCTTCAGGACAATGGTGGACTATAGGCTCACATTTTTTTCTTCTAAATTCCTGTGAAGTTGACAATCTGAGTCACTCACTCTTTGCTTCATCACATATGCAAGTTTCTTGAGGACAAGGATCTTATCTGAGACACAGAGAAAACCTTCACTTTATTTGGAGTCAAAGCTGAGCATACATTCTGATTCTGTCATTCACTGGCTGTATGAACCTATGTTACTTAATCCTTTGGAGTTTCAGTTTTCTCATCTCTAAAATTAGAATAATAAAACTTATCTCAGCAAATAGATGGGAGAGCTGATGTCAGCTCTGAAACTGTGAAAGAAAGAATAGTTTTGTGTGTGTATGTGTGTGTTTCCTCCTAGTGCATTGAATAACCGGGCATTCAGTAAGTGCTCATTTCAGACTTGGTGTTTGGTGTGTTGATTCATAGACATTAAAACTTGGAATGGAAGCTGAACCCCTGAAGCGCTCTCTGCTTGCTACTTCACAGGAAGGAATCTTTATTTTGCCCTCCCACTTCACTTAGTTCCACAGGAATTATATCGCGCCTTCCCTCTAGTATGACGATAATGGCTTCCAAGGGTGGTGGGGTTTCTTCCCCATTACAGGCCAGGGTTCTTTTATGTAACTGAGTGTTTCTACGGAAACATGGCCCTGGCTTCAGAAGGAGCATAATAGATTTGATTATGAATATTGAGCCAATTTTCACAGCTGACACGCTGCACACTTCCTTGTTGCAGAAAAAAAAGAAAAATCACAGCCTAAACTATGTACAGAAACTTGGTAATGGCTGAAAATCATTGCCTGTGGCTGAATTGGAGCCTATGACTTAAGCCGGCTGAAATCATTATGTTTTAATTCACAGCGTGTCAGGGTTCCCTTCTTTGCACATGGTTCTCTGCCTTAAATGACCTTCCAGCCTGCTCCATTCACTGAGTTTCTATTCATTTTAAACATCTTGGTTCAAAAACAACTCATCTGAAAAGCTTCCTTCAACTCTCTAGGGCCGAATCAAGTGTTCGTTCTTGTGGGCTTTCATAGTACTACATTCATACCTTTATCATATCACTCAAAAAACTGTGTGAATCTGATAAGTTTATATGTAGTTGATTTTTGTTATTCCCAGTAACTGTGTTCTATGAAGTCACCACAAACGTAGACCTAACAAATATTGAACCATTGCTTCTAGGAGAAATTCAAGATTAGGTTCCTGTGAGCTTCTGGTGATAACACTTTCATCCTTCACTAACTCCCATAGTTTGCTCAAATTCATGTCCACTGAGTCAGTGATGCTATCTAACCATCTCATCTTAGGCCTCCGCCTTCTCCTTTTGCCTTGAATCTTTCCCAGCTTCGGGGTCTTTTCCAATGAGTCGGCTCTTCGCATCAGATGGCCAAAGCATTGGAGCTTCAATCTCAGCATTAGTCTTTCCAATGAATATTCAGGGTTGGTTTCCTTTAGGATTGACTGGTTCTATCTCCTTGTGGTCCAATGAACTCTCAAGAGTCTTATCCAGCACCAGGATTTGAAAGCATCAATTCTTTGGTGTTCAGCCTTCTTTATGGTCCAACTCTCACATCCATACATGACTACTGGAAAAACCATAGCTTTGACTAGACAGACCTTTGTCAGCAAAGTGATGTCTCTGCTTTTTAATACTCTATCTAGGGTTTCATAGCTTTCCCTCCAAGACACATCTTTTAATTTCATGGCTGCAGTCACCATCTGCAGTGATTTTGGAGCCCAAAATCTGCTTAAAAATTACCATTTAATATATACTGTTGGTTCATTAACGTTGAACTCACAGTCAACAGCACTGTAACTCATTCTTGAGAGAGGCTTGTCTAACACATGCATTTTCTTCTTAAAGCACAGCACCACCTTCTTGCACTTAGGAACACCAGACAGCACTTCATCGCAATGCCTGAGGACCATTTTGGACAGTGGAATCATCAACAAAAAAATACAAAAATGTGAAAACATGGTACTGTTAATACATAGACAACAAAACATGGCACTTGTCTGCAGAGTGCCATGAATCAAAAAGGTAGAGCTTTCTCTCAGTTGGCCTTCACTAGGAACATGCTTATTGCTGGCTCAAGTTTTTGTTGCTTGGTGCATTTGACAAATA